CTGCTTTGTACTTTAGTCTATGCAAAAATAGTTCAAACATCGGAAAACAATTAAAAATTTCACGCAACAGCGCATGAAAGCTGAATTCGAAAACTTGGAGAGTGAATATCTTCCTGTGATTCCCGAGTTAATAGTTTACCCGCCAAAAATTTTTACGAGGCCGAACATGTTACCCGCGGGTACGGGAAGGCTGAATTCTAATGGACAAGGTTGAGCGTGATTATCCTAAAATTTCAGACTTCTAGAATTCGTGGTTCCCGAGATATTAATTTACCCGTAAAAAACGTTCACGCGGCCATACGTGTTACTCGCGGGTACGGGGGAGCTGAATTTAAAATTGCGGGGTCACACGTGGGTGTGGAACGCTCCCCTAAATTTTCGGCTTCCTAGTTTTCGTGGTTCCCGAGTTGAAAGTAGCGGACAAGTTGCTGCGGACATACACACACACACAGACAACCCCGTGACAATATGCGTTTTGTACTGCTATTACATAGCACAAAACGCATAAAAATAAAGCAACACATCATACCGGCAATATATAATACTTTTAAGTTTTTATGCGATCCTAATTCTCTCATCGGCCCTTTACAGGCAAATGGATAAAACAAATTACCGAACGATGCATAAAGCGCGATACACAAAGAAACACAAGGAAGGCCGCCATCGGAAGGATCCAACTGAACGGTTACACGAAAATAATGCGGAGCAGAGGAGCGCAAAACTCAGAGGAACGGAAAAGCTGTCAGCTGCATCAGTGATGAAGAGGAGCAACGACAAAACAACAGATGAATGAATTAGCATCAGCATACTTTTAACATCGCTTAAAAAATAAGATTAAAGCCGGTGCTGGGCACCTACGCAGTACAGAGCACTAAAAAGTCCCGAAACTGACTATGTCGCTTCGGTTTCCTTCTAATGCCTGTTGACGAGGAGGGAACATTCGTTGCCGGAGTCCACCCAAGCGAAAACCATGCAAATGTGATTAGTATTTCTTTATAGTGTCGTGTAATAGATCAAATAATGATTAATGCTTTTTGTTTAAAGTAGGTTAAAGAACAACTACGTTACTATGACGCAACACCTCTGTCCCTGGTTCAAACTTTGGCTACTCTGCGCTCACTGAACTTTCGATCTTTGTCCTCTGGGGTATAAAAGCACTTCTCCCCATCGTCGGGATCGCCACTACTCATCCACCACTGCGACCTATTTTTATTTAACTTATACCCCTATTCTGGAAGCTTCGGCTCCCCAGAGCCTCACCCCTTCGTATGCATTATCTCTTTAACTTACTATGTATTAATAAATATGTATATAGGGCGCGACGTCGTACATACGCACACACACACACACAC